TCGAAGGGCTGAGGTCTGAGTTCAGCTGCATAACGAGCAAGTCCCTGGCAAACCACTTCTGCTTGATAAGCATCTCGGTGCCCTGTATAATACTCTGTATAATGTGGATCACATGGATGCGGCTTCGAGGGTCTTTCGCCTTCTGAGCTACCTCCAAAGGGCTTCGACCTCAGGATCTCGTCTTCAGTCACATAAAAGCAATGAGGGATTGAATTTGAATGGAGCTGGAACTACAGAATTCTACATGAAACAGCATGAAACATGTTCCTGGCTTCCTCAACCCTGCCTTTGGAGGTTTCTGTCTCTTTCTCGGCACCCTCCTGCAAGAGCAACTTCACCAGCTGAGGTTTGCCCAACTTGGCTGCGAGATGGATGGGGTAGAGCCCTTCTGTGTCACTGCAAAGAGCAAGGACGCGGCGAAACCAAGGAGACTTTTGTGGCGAGTTCACACGCTGAAGTCCTTGGATTTGCCGATCATGGACCTGAAAAGGAATTTGCATGAATTTGCTTATAATACTTAATACTACCTGCACCCCCATTCGAGTTGAAGTTTTAACTTATGTCCAGGATAAGCACTTATACGGTGATTTCCTTCAAATTTCTTTTCTGAACGGAGTTCATCGTATCCTACGGGTTCCTACGGAAAAAATCGTCCATTGCCAAGGGTCCGTCATGTTCGGTCACACCACCATAAATTCCATGCAATTCCTTATGTATACCGATCCACACTCCACCCTGCCCTGCACCTCAACCCCAAACCACACACACTTTCCACTGCCCTCCCCTGCAGCGGTCTGGCAGTTGAACAGTGAACATGCCGTCATTGCATGCTCCAGCAAACGTTAATTTGAGCTAAATACCGTTGAAGTGCCCGTAAGGCCTGGTTCCGCGGAGAAACCATGCGCGTAAGCGCAGAGATCCGTCCGACCATGTCCTCCTCCTGAAAGCAAGCATCAGCGAGAATGTTCCAGCAGTATGGAGAAACCTCGATTTGGTAAGCCATTTCCTCCACAAGTTCTTGAAACCTGTGGCTTTTTGGAAACATGGCGAACGCAGGCTTGCCATCCTCAATGGCTTTGTGCGCCAAAAACTGGTAAGCTTGAAGGAAATGCTCTCCAGCTTTGATCAGTTCTTGTGCTTTGCTTCGCTCAATCCAAATGCCCTCCACAAACAAGGAGCTGATAAAGAAGTTCAAGGCTTTTGTACCCGAAGCCTCAATTCTCCCGGAGAATGTGCAAACACACTCACCGGCCCGAAGCAAAGTAAAACAACAAAGCAAAACATTGCAAACACAAAATGTGCAAGAACCACGCTTGAAGCGGCAATAAACCGAAGACGAAGGTCAGCATCACAGGCGTCCTTGAACTTTTCAAGGTAACTTTGCAGCCACTGCATCAGGGTCGCCGTCAGATGCGCTTTGTTCCACGATGCTGCGGGTTCAGGGGCCTTGAGGCCGAAGGTGTGAGCCTCAAACTTCTTGAGGTACTTCACTTTGGAATTTTCCTCACAGAACGACATGTAGTCATCGCTGAGAACGGCCACACGCTTGTCAACGCTCGATTCACCGGTGAGAAATTGTACGTACTTCACCGATGAGGCCACCCATGCCTTGCCAATGCCCATGTGCACTGTGTGCCAGACATCAGGCCTGTGGAAACGCTGCGCGCCTCCAGGGCTCTCGTCATGCAGCAGCCGTGTCCAAGCGGGCTCAACGTCCCATGGTGGTGGTGTGCCGCAAGTCCGCGCTGCCCTAATCAATCTTTTGGCAACTATCCTCGGATACATCGGAGAAATCCAAACAATCAACAGAGTAAAGGGCGACAAAACTGAAGTCTGCAAAGCCACCAAAAGTTAAAATGTAATACTTCCTGCACTAAGCGTCAGGTCTTCCCAGTCACCTTCTTTGGTTCCCCCCATACACAGGTGACAAATCCCAGGAGGGTTGTCCATGTATTTCTTTGCTTGTTCACGACCTTTGGGAGCTCGGCGGTATGACCTCTCCAAATTTGCCGATGTAACCTGGATTTGCAGCTACCCCAAAACACTCGAACATATAAAGGGCACTGTTGATAAATTTCTGAAGCCCGTTTAAAAGGACGGTTGGAAGAAGCACAATAACACAGCAGATCCAGGAAACAAGGTAACTCCAGTCGCCTTTGTTGCCAAGAACGATCGGAAACACAGTGCCATAGGCAGGAATCTCAATGCCGGAATCCTCAAGCTGCTTCCAGTCATCCACCACAATGTCAATGATATGTTTGAAAACGGAGGGGTCGCTCGAGTACATCTCCTATCAGGTAACATAGCTGGAGGTCTATAAATAACCCACCAAAGATACAAACCCACTTATTTTATTTGGTTTAGCCATATCACGAAACAGTACTATGTGCCAACCCCGTCCTTTGGACAAAGAAAAGTCAACAATCTGGTTTGTAATGCTGTCTTCACAAGGTTCATAGGAATGCCATAGGTTGCCAGATCTTTGTACCATGAGTCCGGGGTCTTAGTCTTCCTGGTTCCCTTTCCAAGCGCCCCCCGAGAATTGGAGCACCAACATGCCATTCCGCTTGTACGTAGTTCCCTCGTCACCGTGAACCAAAATTGGTAAGAGGTGAGAGGTGGAAATTCTCCCCAGTGATTCACGGATTTTTCTAAAAACACCGTGCTGTGGATAGATGCTGGCAAACCGAGACCAGAACAACTCCAATGCCGGCTTTGCTTCTTCAAAAGTTTGCGCGCCACCAAGTAGCATATGGATGTCACATGTGCTGTACAAGGTCTTGATGAGATGCGATGGGCGGATCCATGGAAAGTTGGTCTGGCCAGCCACACAACTGAAGCTCAATGGCACTGGGTAAACCATACCATATTGCTTGAAAATCCGGGATACGCCCTCTTCCTGAAGCGGTTGTTTTCTCACATGTCAAAAGTCAACAGGTGTTCCCCCCACCCTACCTTGTTTGGTGATTCCCAAAACTAGAGGGTTGAAACACTATCCAAAGTAAATCCAGCCAAAGTGTCCGCGTTTTTCTCTGACACTTTGTGCAAAGCTGAGATGACTGGGCAGCAAAAGCCATCTTCGCCGCTGGCTCGCTCTTCAGCAAAGCGGTCACTCATGTCAGCTTTCGCGAATCTGACAATCTCAGCGCATGGTTCCTTAAGAATTGAAAGAACCAAGTCAAGGGGCAAACTGTGCAGGTCACATATTTTCATGCGAAGACCACCCACACTGATCAAAGCTCTTGCGAACTGTTTTGAATCATGTTTTGAAACCATGCTTGGTCAATGCTTTCGCAATGGCGCCAAGTTTCTCCACGACCATATTTCCAGGCCAAGTGCTTAGCCTTCTTGGAGGGACCTGGCACGTAGAGGTGGAAGAAACCCACAAACCCAGTGTCCAATGGTGCACTTCAGCCGCATAATCCTTTTGCTCTTGCTTTGACTCTCCCAAGGCATGTCGATCACACATGCAAGACCAGCGGGGCGAAATTTCCCCATCAAAGCAACAGATGTTCTAAATGTGTCATCATCTCCCTTCTATATATGCAGGTAATCCCGCACAGAAACATCAAAAAGTAGCTGCGAATTTGCCTTTCAGGCTTTGCTGCCCTTCCTTGGCTTCTTCTTGGAAGTCGCAGCCCCGGACTCAACAGCATCTTCGGCTTTGGCAGCTTTTGTGCCACGTCCCTTAGCCCTCTTTCTACCGGTCTCTTTTGGCACTTTGACCTCCTTAGATTTGGCTTCCTTAGGAGACCGGCCTTTGCCTTTGTTTCCTTTCGAATTCTTCTTACACTTGGAAGCGTCCTTTTTGAGTTGCCTTAGGCAGGAAATCCAATGATGGGGCAACACCATCACATGTCCATGCAATCACTAGAGTGGGATGGTCCAGGCAAGATGCTTGAACTCAGCATCCATTGTCAAGAGGTCTACACACCTTAGAGTTGGCATGTTCAAAGAACATGGAACTTGATTTGGGTCGGTTTGGAAGAACCTCACCACAGCAAACCCCACCACAGATCACAAGCTGGTCAAGGATCGGAGATTTGACGTTGGCTTTCTCGCTCTCAATGGCAGCAATCAGCCTGGGATTGACGGTGTTGAGGGCTGAACAAATCAAACATGTATTTGCGCAGGTTCCCTCTTTCGATTCTTCACTGCTGTATCAGATTATCAGGTGGATGGGACTGGTGTAGAAGAAGACCTTCAATTTGGATAGAAAAGCCCACGCACAACATCATTCAAACAGGGTACCACTCTCCAAAATAACTGTCAAGTTGGGTGAACTGTCAAAGGCTGGACCTTCGTTGGCACTTGGCTGGAGGGGCGAGGCGCTTGAAGACGATGTTGCTTCGGCGTTTATTGGTTTCCGGTCCAAATTGAAATTGTTTTCATGATGGTGGTGGCCTGAAATCACTGGTGTCCATAGGTATGCTGGGGAAAGGACCTTGCCAAAACCTGTTCACCATATTGGAAGCCTGGGACTGGGACCGAGCGATCGAAATCCGAGTGCGCATGTTGGAACTTGTTTGGGGCACACGGCACACTGCATTCCAATCAAGTAACTTTTTGAACGTCTCACTCTTCGGGTCTGGATTGTCCATCTTGAAGTCAGTCAACAGCTTGGCAAAAGATGTGTATGCAGTGTCAAGAGTTTTCTTGCACTTGTCCAAGTTCTGCGACAACCTAAACAAAAAAAAGATGAAGGTGCAACATGTTCCCATATATTGTTTCAAGTTGGTACACTTTTGCACATATGGTATAAGGACTTTGCACATTGCATTGGCCCGTAGCGTCTGACTTACCAGACTCCAGCCAACCCTTCATGTCCACGATGTTGTTGATCTTGTCCCTGATGGTCTGCATGAACTTCTCAAGATCTGGCGCGACCTGCCAGGCCAAAACGTGTTTGGAGGTGCGGGGGGGTGAGCTCGATGGAAGGGCAAGTTGGTTGAATTTGTTCAAGATAGCCTTCGCACCCAGAACCTCTACACTGGCACCATCGCCCGGACGGTTGCTCTCCCACAAATCGAGTGCCAAGCCGTTCGTGTCTGGAGCTTCACCAGAGACTTTGTCCTTATACGCACTTGGTGTGTTTTTGTTGGGGGTTGCCACGGAAGAACAAAAGTCAAATGTTTTTGAGATACTGATTAGATGCTGGGACCCTTGCGTCTTTCTCAGTGGTTTCGACCTCCCTAAGGAGTTCAGACTTCTTGAGCAGACTCTTACATTCATCTTCAACGAAATACTCCATGACAGCATTGTCGTACTTCCACGCCCTGCACAGAGCATGAGCGCAAGCCAAAAAAATCATTGAAGGTTGCTTGCATGCCCAAACACGTGCTTTTCCAACATGGATGATCACTGGCACACATGAGCATGCAGGAAGTATATCATTATGCGCAAATGGCCGCACCGTACCAAAGTATTTGGCCATCGTGTGCAGTAAGCGATGATGGCCGCTGCATCTTTCCTTATTATAGACTGCATTGTACGCCAACTTGTACAAAACCCCTGTTCACTGAAAGGTCCATAAAAGTCATTCCTCGGTTATGCTGCCAACTCAAAATGCATCGCAACCAAGAGTCGGTGTGTAGGTCTTCAGCAGCTTGGCCTCTGTCATCCACGTGCCATGTACTTCTTGCTCACGAAGGCTCATACGCTCGCGAACCACCACCACTCGGGTCAAAAACTCTGTCTGGCAGGGCCGTGCGCGCAGGTCGACAGACTATATATAACCCCAAGGACTATACCCAAAAAGTGTCATGTTGACATCGTGCGACTCAGTTGTTTTCTTTTCAATGACGCCGAGGGTTAACCCATGTGTTTTCTTTGCAATCCCCACCCTGATCTTCTTGAACTGCTTTCGGTCCGTTCCCCATTTCTTAATCGCGTCCAACAGCGCGATTTCGAGCCACTCTCGTTTTTCATGGTGGGCATAGTCTAGACGCACGCTCTCGTCCACGTGGCACTTGCCACTCGGCTTAGTTTCCACCATCCTGCGCAATCTCATACGTAGGGCATCGTGCCCAAGAACCTTGATGTTAGAGGGTTGCACATCCACATGGGTTTGCTTGAGCAAGGTTAAACACGCTTTGACACACACAGGAAACATGTTCAGTTCCGCCTAAACATGATCAAGACTGAGAAGCTGCTTTGCCGTCGGGCGTGACAATACAATCGTCGGGAGCGTCTGGCTGCTTCCCGGATGCCGAGCCAGGAGCACCATTGGAATCCAAAGCTGCAGGTGTTCCAGGCTCCACGGGAGTCGGGTGGGGAGAGGTCTCAGTGTTCTTCCCCGCACTGATTTTCAACCCTTCCAACTGACGTTCCAAGTCTTGAATTTTATCACAAGCCTTCTTGAGTAGCGCACGGTCCTCATGGTCACCCGGTGTCGTGGGCGTAGATGGTGGGGTTCCATCCTTCAGTGTCAGGACCAAGGCTGTATACAACATTATACAACAACATACTTGTCAAGTTGAAACTTTGGGCATTAGATACAAAGGCTCTTTGCATTCAGGCTGCCACTGTCACAATCGAAATTACATGCATGCCGTTCAGTCATGACAACTGGACTTGGAATGACTTGGATAAGAACACATGGAAGAAGATAGACTCCCAGTGTGAATGGAAACGGTGCCAAGACTCTCTTGATGTCAAGTTGGATGAAGTGTATGCAGCAAGCTCGGAGGCAGACTTAGTGTTCAACAACATTGGACGCAAACTGCATATTTCTTGGATGAAAGAAGGTGTCCTTTGGCAACCAAACATTGAGAGACCAACAAACTCTGAAATTAAGGCATGGTGTCCTTTTCTATCGTTTTATAAGCCTGTTGAAGGGCAACAAGGCCACCTTGAAAAGCTATAGGTCTGTTGGCTTGCATGGGAGGTCAGGCGTGGCCAACAAGTTTGGAATCCAAATGAACTTATTCTATACAAGGGGCCGCTGGCTGGGTGTCGTCTTCCGTTGTTGGAGTAGCCGATGATCGAGTAGCCGATGAAGTTGTTCCAGCGGGGCTTGCAGCCTCAGCGCAGGTCGAGTAAAACCGTGAAAACATGATTGAACTGTTTGCGGTGTCTTTGTTCTTTGGCGGTCAAGGGGCTGGTTCTGTCCCTGGTTCCCTTTTGACCTTCACAATGCTTGGTTCACCCTTTTTCTTTGCCTTGAGAGCCTCAAGCAAGGCCCTCGCATCCTGAAAGCGGATGATGCGTTTCTGGAACGCTCAAATCATTCCACAACAAAAAACAAACCAAAGTCCTTCAAGGCGGTTGGCAAGTCATGTCCATCAAGCTTCAACCCCGCAATGACTTTGCAGGCGTTGCCCCCATTCTCCAACGTGCCGCACGACCAGGTGCGACTGGGAAGGGTGCTGGCCGGCATGGTTGACTATCAAGCAAACCCTTCGCAGCAAAATGGTTGATCACCTGAACCTATATATAGCACCAAACATGCATATATATGTGCCCTCAATTTGTCAACAACATTGGCATCCATAATACACCCATGGTAAAGGAAAGCAAGCTGGTTAAAGAGCGTTTGTTTGGTTTAGAGTGCAAGATGGCCTGACAAAATACACTCAACCCGCGCGTTTAACCCTGTATTGAAATCACTGCTCACTGGCCAGGTCGGTGGGAATGCCCCCGACCACTGAATTGGGCTGGCTTCGATCCAGCGACAGTATATGATTTCGGGATGTTCCCGCATAAATGGTATACCCTTTTGATACCTCAAGGCGATCTAAAAGGGAAAAATGGGAACCTGGACCCCCCCAATTCGGGAAATTTTTTGCGTAATAATTACATAAATCTGAACGCAATCTGAACGCAATTGAACGCAATACGAACGCAATCTGAACGCAATCTGAACGCAATGGTTTCGGGAAGTCACATTTCAGTTTCGGGAAGCCCCTCCAAAACCAATAATGTGCAACAATCTTATGTAATATTTATGGTGTTTATCGTCCGTTCAAAAGACTGACCATTTCCCCAAAATTTCACCGGGGGCCCTTCCGGCACGAACCCATCAAAAATGGAAGATTTCCCGACAAAACTGCAATCAAGGGAATCTTTTGGGGACCCAGATGAACCAGGAGGAGTATTGGGGTTCCTTTTCGTGCAATATATACTCACCAAAGTTGCCAATCACAAGAAAGAAAGTCTCGTGGAGCCTGACATGGAGCTTTGTGGAATTCTATATGGGTGAATGTTTGACGCCTTGGTGATGATTGAAGCGAACCTATATGGCCTATGTAGCATCAATGGAAATAGTTACGACCAAAAGCAAACTCGCCTGTGGAGGTAAGTGGGCATACATCCCACAATGCACTCAAAGCCAAATTAACGCATTGAGCTTTGCCAAAAGTGGAACCAACAGCTTGATAATCTTGGCATCTGTGCTTGGCGCTTTCAACATAGGTTCCTTTAATTATATCTTCGTGGGCAAAACTTCCCTCCACGCCGCTGGGAGTTGCAGGCTCTTGTTGCCCCGCAAATATTTGGCCACCTGCCGCAGGTTCGCTTCGGGCCAATCCTCCCATGGGGCCTTTGCGAAGGCCTCGGTAGCTGAAACTCCTGCAGGGATGGCGGAATCAAGCGGTTTCCCCTCACCTTTGGTAGCAAGGACGGGCAGCAGCTCAACGACCTTCTTCCCGAAGAGCCGAGGATAGACCCTTAGGGTCAACTGGTCCCCAAAAAGACCCAAACATCAGGACGTCAAAAGGATTCTGTTACATACAAGGTCAGGGATGGATGGTTGAACAACATGGAACATATATCAGTTTTCAGCTGGGTGGCTGTGTGGATTTGAGAGCCGCTGTACCTTGATAGCCTCCATTAGCAGAACGCTTTGTGGTCTTCAGTGTCAATCGAGCTCTCTCGGCTTTCTTGAGCTTGCCCCGGCAAAATTGGCCGATGAAAGCATTGTTGGAGAACATCTTTTCTCTCTTGGGTGACGCGGCCCCGTAATGCGCCATCCACCACCCAGTTTTATACACCTGAGGCAAACCCCGACTGGTGACAGGCTTAATTACACTCTGAATTTTATATTTGCACCCATGTCAATTGACAACACTTTAGAGCAGCCCCCAATTGACTTGGACAGTGTGCAAAGTCGTGACAGTTGGATATTTGACATTTGTTTGCTGCAACCAAAGGGCTCTCAACCTGTAGTAAAGCCACCTGAACCTTTCAAAATACTCCATCAGCGAACTGCCTGGTTGCTCCAAGCCAAAGCCACCACCTCTGGCTGTGATTAAGACCATCAATAATATCGTCCTGCAGGGGCTGGGTAGATGCAAGGAGGTATATATCCATGGGACCCTGGGACAGTGTGAGTTGCACCCCCTTCTATTCGACACAGTGGTTGGGGGGGAGACTCTTCACGCCGTACTGGGCTCACCCCATGATAGTCCTTCCAAGAATGACACTATACAACCCAAGTCCTTGACAACATGGCATTTGCTTCTCTGACATATGCTTTGGATTCGTCTCCACTTGCCAAGATGATACTTCGCTTTGATGTACCCGTGTTTATATGCACCCAGCTGCTGCACACGGTGCCCAGTAGCACCCAAAACTCATCTTCTTGACAATTCAATATTGCCCAAATCGCTAGCCTCATTTGCTTGATGGGTACCACAGTGTCAACATGTCGGGGCCGGTCAAAACAACAGGTGTTTGTGCTTATGCTTCTTGACAACTTGGTTCAAGGCGCAAATCCTGATGGCCCCATGAAGTTGAAGGGATTCGACTCAGGTTTGAAACCAAAAGAAGCACCATATTCAACATCACACGCCAGCCCCGGGTACTTTGCTTCACGAGCTTCAGCAAAGCAATTGCCCACGCCGGCAAACAGCTCCAGGTACCGCAACTCCTTCGGAGCAAGAGAAAGAACTCACCACTTCGAGCCCCTTTTGTAAAGCCTTGACCGGTCATGCATATTATATGATTCACATGCGTTTATCGAGAAGAGCCATTGGCACGCCTGAGGCATGCTCGGAAGGTTTCCAGTGAACGCCACCAGGATCACCAGGAAGATGAAGGCCTGCAAGGGACCGTTAAAGGGAGTTGGGCCTGACCACTTGCTCTCCATCGGAAGGTCTGCAATCCAAACAGAAGACAGTGGCATTGGACTCCTTCACACGATTCCCGATTCCCCTGAAACGTTCTTGTTGTTGCATGATGCCCCAATTGAACCCCGGCCTTTGGCGCTTGCAACAAGAGAAGGCGGTGAACAAGGCTGTCCAAGGAACGCAATGCCATGGTTGATCGATCTGGGCAAATGGCCCAGTGTAGAACCCTCAATTTGCAAAAGTCCAGCATGTCGAGAAAAGGTGCCTTGTGAATCCGTGTTTGTTTCATACATGTGTGCATGGTGTATGCCATCGGTCTTGCATAAGTTGACTGAGCCGAGGTTCTGAGTTTCAAGAATTTATAATAGGCGTTTGTTGGCTCCATGCTCAACTCGAGAAACAATCCAGGCTGTGCAACTGGGTCAGTCATTCTTTGCAAAGCACTGCAAAACCCTTGCCATGTGCAGGTTGCATGCGCAGAAATCATGTAGCACATAAGCATGCGAGGAAGACCTCTACTCTTGATAACTCCAGTCCGTGCTCGGTATCCGCTGCAGCGCACAGAATTGCCCACCGTGCACCTTCGAAAGGCTCGTGGACGGGCCATCACCTGGCAAGCCGGCCATATAGCGCTTTGGTTCATGAGGCAGGAGAGGTGCTGTGTGGGTGTGTGGGACCTGACTCAAAATATCATCAAAAAGCAAAGTTGTGCACGAGCATATAGTTTCGAGACATGTTGAGACACTATATGGTCAAAGATTGACAAACAAGGGTTCCTTTTTTCTGTGCAGCGCACCAGGGTCCTTGCGAGAGATTTGGAAATGTTATCTATGATCCCCAACTTTGCATGATGTGTCATCATGCGTGCCCCAAATGTAGAGCTTGCCACATCACACTTCAATGAGGGCATGCCCTACCATACCAAATCACAACACGTGTAGGG